ATAAATGGCTGCTCATGCTTACCTCAACCGAAGCCCTTATGGAGAGCAGCTGAACCAAGGCCCGGGGGATCCAACTGTTAAAACTGCCTTCCTCACCGCTTAGCAGTAAGGGCGGTAATTTTTACAGCTCGGTATTTTTCAGCAATTTCTGGGGCCTGAATGGGAAAAGAAAGGGAAAAGGGAAAGAGAGAGAAAAAAGAGCGCAGGGGGTCCTTGAGACTCAGCTGGTTGACAGCTCCTGTCTCTCTCTGTAACGACTTATTTATTCAGGGATAATTAATCAGGCGCAGTTTTATGGCGGTATGATTAATGCGCTTTGTCATTTGTGCTGCAGCGATGAAAATACAGTACCTACGATGCCGCTGCTCGAGTCTAACTGGCTCAGATGAAACGGCAAACAGGGGAAGTCCTGTTTGCCTCCCAGCAAGGAGCCGTGAAAGCAGGCCTAACTTTTGATGTGTGCATTCTCTTTCTGTAACAAAACAAAAAAGGAAAAACAACCACGTCAGGGAAATTTTTTTATATACTGCACTATTTAAATGCAACCTCGGGGCCTCTATTTATGCTTTGACGTTGACGCTGATGTAATCTGCAGAATTAACGTTCCTCGAAATTTACAGTTCGCGGTGTTGTGTTTCAGTGTAGTGCATTTTTCCCACACTTTGAATTTCTTCTCTTTAGTCAGCAGCTCCCTCCTCACGGCCCCGTCGTGCGACTCCTTAATCGCCATGCTGATCCGAGGGCGCCACCTTGTGGTTGTTTTTGTTACAAGAAGTACATGTGAAGTTCACATGAATTACAAGTGGAAACCTGAACTATTGACCTCTGTCGAAAGAGGGATTTTAGCGGCTCTCTTACGGGACTTTTTGATTGCTCAGTTTTTGGATGCCGCCCACTTAAAAGGAAGAGTAACTGCAAATCAACACAAATTAGTTTCAAGTGAGAGATTTCCCGTAAACCTATGAATCACAAGCAATTACTAAAACAAAAGACATTTCGAATGACGCTCTTCTATCTCTCCACCTGAGGTCCTTGTGGAAGGGTCAGAGCTGTTTTTTCGCTGTTTATTTGTGTATGTTTCATCAACTGTCAGGAGGTTTATGCAAAAAAAGAAAAAAAAAACTTGTGAAACTTGTTGGGCGGGTACCTCATAGGCAAAGGGAGGATTTATTACAGGTTGGTGTGAGTCTAGATCATTTCCTGTGGACTCTTTAAGGCTAGAAAGGTGCCGTACAAACACTGTCCACTTACCATTACCATGTATCAAAGTGTAAACTTCATGCAATTCTGCATACAGCCTTTTATATTATGATGGGGAGCTTGTAATGCAAACCACTTCCAGGTAGGCTACTGAAAAGACGCTGTGCCTGGGTTGGGCGTTTCCTTTCCGAGCAGACTTGTTTTTGTTCTTCAAGGTGTCAAATGTCAGGTGATTCTTTTAACTGGAAGGCTATCATCCTCTGGATACAATTTACTTGTTTTTATTCAGTAACTGCCTTTGTTGTTCACTTTAATATGAACACTTTAATACTGTCAGATTATACATTTTGCTGTTATGTTATTTTTTTAATTGTATAATTAGTTACTTTTATATCTTCTTCTTCTTATATCAAGCACAAACAAAGCGTGGTGGAATACACTTTATTTTTACAAAAGCCTTACATTTTTACACACATAACAGCTCACGGCAATGCCATGTATCGCAGGACATTGCCACAATGGTTCTTCTCGGATTAGTAATCTTCCTCATCACCACGTCTTGGCTGTTGACAAGAAAACAAATGAGGTCATTTTTCATGTAGGGGTTGCATCCATTAATGCCTTTTTCATATCATGTTAACATTAGCTTTATGAAGATTTGCACTATGCAGAAGTTAAAACAGAGTACTGTTTCATCATATAACGAGTTATTGTTTCATAATGACCAGCAGATGTCACTATAAACCCATCCAGCAATATCTTACCTTGGATTTGCCACAGTTTCTGATCTTGTTTCCTTGAGAAAAAAGCAAAACCAAGTGATAGTTAGCTCCTATCAAAACGTATGGATAGTTAAACTACTCCATTATTATTAGGATGTCCTAAAAACTCCAAAATCCAAAATACTTCAGTGAGAGTACTGACAGGGACTAGAAAAAGAGAGCATATTTCTCTGTATCTTCATTGGCTGTTCACACTCAGCCAGCCTTTCCAGCCATGTCCTCGGCAATCCTCACCTTAGGTGTTCCATTTGTTAGGGCCTTTGTTTCTATTTTCCTTTCTTTTCCATTGAAACACATATGAAATCTTATACAAACACAAAACACAGCACATATAGGATGGGAATGCTGTCTTACCTGCCAACAGAATGATGGAAAGGAACACAATGACCCCGGCAAAGATCAGACCTCCAATACGCAGCTTCTCATAATCTGCAAATTCACAAAGCGCTCTGTCACTACACCATTACTTTCCACCCCCTCACCCCCCAGACCCCTAATCCTAACGACAGAAACTGACTGTATCTTGCTTTCTACACACTATGATGAGATACACTTTTTTAAGACGTAGTTGCTTACCATATACAAAGTCTGCATCAAGGTCAACATCTGCACCTATTGAAGGACAGCGAGTGGAAAGAGATACAGAGCCAGTAAAAACTGTTTTCTACAGACACATAACTGCAAGCTGCATCAAGCTCAAATATTGAAGCTATTTTTCACTGTGTTGTGATTTGGACACATTCAAGGCTCAATTCAGTGTTTTATTTTGTGCACGTTGTGAAAACAGGGTGACAGTCTAAATTGGTCCATTGTCTGAAGTTGTGCACAGACAACAAGCTCTTCTGGCAGATCGTAAGTGACTTTAAAAGTCCAAATGTTTCTTTAAATAATGATTCTGTATTCCATTATCAGCCCCTAAATTTGTTCTCATTTTACTGCCTCCACAAATGCACTGTCATATAATTTATTATATCATCTTATTACCAAAAAGCCAGAGGCATAACTAGTAATGAAGAAATTCTAAGTAAGCATGATTGACTGTGAAACAATGCTTAAATGCTAGAAGGTCATATTTTCCATGACCAGTGTTAACCTTTGTATTGTTGTTCATAATATTAATAACAATAAAAAAGGGAACTTTACACTCCCCTGATATATGACTAACATGCTCACTTGTGGTTCTGACTCAGAATCACAACAGTAAGTTTAGCTATGACCTTGCGAATGTTATGTCACTCGAATGCGTCTGTTTCCTTGCCCTGGCGTTTGTTCATAATGAGCAGTTCAGCTGCTGTGTAACTCACCTTTAGGAGAAGACATGTTGTCTTGTCTTGTTTGTGTGTTCAGCTGGTCAAACTGCAAAAAGATAATACAAATAGGTTTTTTTTTATTTAAAGTGTGCGTGTGTGGGGCGATGGGGGGTTGCATCTACCAACCGGTGATCCACCAAGGTCCACTGTTTTAAATTATTGAACACAAACCTTTGTATTAATAGCATTCCCACCATTGGGTCTGGTATGTGAAAGCGTGTGTGGGTTAAAAAGTTTGTGGGCATTTTGTTTCTACAGCCCCTCTCTTGTAATAAAGTTTGACTGTTCTAGTAGCTAATTTAACTGGGCTTATTCACTTTAGATGAGAGGCAGTTGAAAGGCTTGGAAACTTTATATGTCCTGAACAAATTGCCCTGTGGGTTGCCTACTGCAGTCTTAATGGCAAAGCGATTGCCTTGATCTTCACTGAGAGGTTAATGGCAGTATTGATTCTTCTTCCGCACCCATTCTGCCAACATCTTTCACCACCCCTCCCCACCACCAAAACCACACGCATTCCCACAAACAAGCGTTTCTTGTTTGATCTCCAAGTCTTTAATTGTTAACTTAAACAGATTAAAGAACTGAGACTTTCCCTGGCTCTCTCCACTTACTTCAAGCATGCCATTGTGTGCATTGTGAACGTCAGTTCTTTAATCCTTTATGTGCCTGGGCCTTTTCAATGCACCACTGAGCATAAGGGCATACCAGGCAGTTACTCATTAATATATTACAGCTCCAATATTCATTAACCTTGAACCTTGCACAGTCTGATAGAGGTTATAGATAGAACATGGAAAAGAAGCTGCTGTGACGACTGCCTAATTGATATATAGTGATTTTGGCAAATAAAGACAGCACCCCTAAAGTCAAGCACTACATCACTGCTATGAGATTTCTTTAAAAGTGGGCATCTAGCAGGATATTTAGTAAACAAACTACTGTCCTCTAAACCCAGCTTTACAACACATATTAACTGAGCCATGAGAACATGTTTTGGACTATTTGGACAGCCTGCATTCAAAGGTTAAACTTTTCATTGCAGGAATGCCGGTAATTCACATTTAATACAGAAATAAACACAGAGATTAACTTAAACCTATTAAAACATGTATCTTCCATACATGATCCAGCTCTAACATTTATTTAAATAATTTTAAGGTAACAGATTATTGTGCCACATTTATTTTAATATTTATTTTAAGAGAGCAGTCACTCACCTGAGCTGCAGAAGGCTCTGTATCACCACTGTCCAGGTGTGTCTGCGGGTGGCCCTGTCTGCATTTCCAGACCAGACTCCCACAGTAGAAATCCCCACCCACTAAACCACCCCTCCACGCTCAGGCATATTTTAGTTCAGCCGCTCAGTTACATATTTATAGTCTCATAAAATTTGCAAGCTGGTGCCAATAAACAAAAGCTGCTTCAACCTTTGGAATCGTAACAGAAAATGCGGCATGTTATAGAGTCTTCAGGTGGAGAAATCTTTCCCTGACACATGGTTTCATAGCCCCAAGTGACAGTATTATAACCTTGACTGACATTGATTGGAAAACAGCAGAGTGATTTCAAATGCTGTTTGACGTTTGCATGTAAATGAATGTTTATAGAAAGTTCCCTGAAGAAAACAATAAGAATCCAAATTCTACAACAAAATCAGGTTTTCAGCAAGATAAAAACAAAAAAGAAATAAACAAAAAAATACACGTTTTGTGTTCCGCCACTTTTATTTATGCCAAAGCACAACAGGTTGCCACACAACAAGGCTCTTGTGTGAAGAATGAACATATTTACTTGTTTAGCTGTCATGTTTAATTTCAGACTTAATACTGGTTAAAACCCGACCTGGCAGCAGGGTGACAACAAGGACTAGTCATCTATACTCTCTCTATAATTTGGCTTACATTAGGCTACTATTAATGTAGTCTGGCAAACAAATAATATCAATATCACGACTCTCAAACTCCACAGACAAACTTAATCTCTCTTCCGGCAGTGTAATGCATGTCTAGTTATTTAAAACATCATGAGACTGACTAAACAAATAACAAAGAGAAAAGAACGATACCCTGGCTCGACAGATTTGTGGCACCAGTGAGTGTGTATGGGAAAACTAATTATAGCCTGCTGGAGACTAGCTAATCCTGACGGAGCCAGTGACAGAGCAGTGGAGTGGATATGTGGAGAAGGTGGCAGTGAGATAGCTGATGCAGAAGCTTCCTCCACTATGAACTGTTAAACACTGCGGTGGAGGGGCCCATGCAGGCACCTGCACACTACTGTGCTCCCTCAAGAGAGCTGTGGCAGTTGAGATTGTCTTATATAAGGCTCATCACACTTGCATGTAGAGATGCACATGCACTTGTGATGTACACACAATCATACACATACAGGATATGCATGCACACATAACTACACTCATGTGGCCACACAAACACACCCAGCCATTCACACTTAAACGTAAATGAAGATATTCATATTTCTGTGAACTGTCAGTACTACTTATACACATATCGTATTGATACATATATATACTGTATATATATATATATATATATATGTATGTGTTATATTCTAACTGTGGCAAAATATGACGCTGGACAATTAACAAAACAATTAGGAACAGCAGGTCACACAAGATTTGAAAGTCTTCTTTTCTTTTAAAGACAATCTTGCATTAAAGGTGCTACTGGCTACGACAATGAAGTGGAGACACGGTCACAGAAAGGCACAGGAATGGACAAGAGCACAGGCAGCGAGGGAGGGACTGGCATGATCACAACGAAGAACAGCAGGCACAAGAATTATGTACATATCAGCATTACTCCTCTAAACATATACCTCCCCTCTTACCCTATCGCATGACCGGTAATAATAATCACCCACACCTTCACTATTATTGTAGACAAGTATCAAATAAAATCTTCATTTCAGAAGGTAGTTCTTTAGAGTTGCCTCAGTTCTCTGGTGGAGTCTCCTTGGCAGCTGCTGCAGCTGAAAAAGGTCAATGATGAGTGAGTTAGCTGAAGCGAACATGCAAAACATTAAACTTGCCTAGAGTTATTTCTTGTTAAATATTCCTCTCCTGTGCCAAAACATTCACTCACTTGCAATCACTTGAAGGTGAAGGACAATGCTCAGGGCTCTGCTGCTAATTGAGGGCCATTAAGTATGCAAGGAGTACCTGGATTTTGTACTTGTGACCTTATAACAAAGAGCACTACTGTAGAGTATATGTATTCACTCACTTAATGTACAAGGTATGCACATTTTAGAGTGGAAGATACTCTTATAACTCACACAAGTTAACTCATGCAATTCAGTAAAAATGCTATAAATATCATATCAAAATATTCAATTAAAACACATAGTCCATATGCTTTCTTGAAAAGGTGTACTTGAATTCAAACCTTGATTGTTCCCCAAACCTAAAGTAGTTTTGTTGCATAAGTTTAACCAATTTTCACTTTAAAACTAAAAATAATATCTTAAAGAAAAACTTTGTGGTCTAAAGCCTAAAGACAAACTTTCTCCCTGCTACCTTGTGAATCACTGAGCTCTTCTTGAAGACGGCATGAAAAGAAGCTAAGATTCACTAAGATTTAAAGCAACAGGTGCTGAAACATCTCTTTAAAACATGGGTTATATACAGTGGACTAAATCCACTTTAAAATGAAAAGTCTAAGCAATATTTCTAAGCTAAAACTTGAAAACCACATAATGGGGAAATACACGGTATACACCAACTTTTTGTGGGGTGTAAGAATATATGTCCTCTTCAAGATGTTATTTAAAAATATTTTGAAATATATCAAGCACTGTTATGTAATAATGACAGTAATAACACTGTCTATATTTGCACTTTTTCTTTTATAACATATCGTAAAGTATATTTTTTGCTGTGATTTTACTGGTTTTATGTGACCAAAGGATCACAATGCATCTTCCATCAGTAGCTTTAGACAAATGGATAACATGAGAGCAGAAACACTGCAAAAAATGATCCCACATTTGACTGATTGTTTAAAAGCCTTTTAACTGTAAAAAAAAAAAAAAAAAAAAAAAAAAAAGCAGATATTGCAGATATTCTGAAATGTAGCCAAAAGGAGCAGATTTCCCAGTTCCTGTGTTCTATGGGCTCTCTCAGAAGGAAACTTAATTATGGATGTATGTCAGAGGGTGAGCTTGAGGTGAGGAGGAAATGACAAGAGTTAAAATGTGCATCTTACCCTTGGAGACAATCAGATTCTCCTCCTGTGCCTCTTCATCTCCGGGGGCCCTGAAGAGAGGATCCACAGGTTGTCATGGTAACTAAATCAAATAGTATGACCCAAAAAAGCTCTTCATGCAGCAAAAAAAAAATCATTTCTGTACATCAGAGAGGGACACTGACATACCTGGGCTTCTGTTTAATACCACAGCGGCATCGCCGACCTGGAAACACATTAAACTGTCAGCTGTATTGTTCTGTTGTGAACGAAACATCTGTGTCATCACTATTAAAGTGTTATGTGAAACAGCGCGTAAGAAAGGTCATGGAGTAGAATGATGTGAAAATTCTATGAAAATGCAGTTTTTTATAATTAAATTGTAACATTTGGTTATAGTGGAGAGCGCGTGTAGACATGATGAAACGACACACACAAGGTTAACTTACTGAGGATTAGAAGAATGCCAAGTGTAAACAGCACCACTGCAAATGCCAATCCCCCAATCCTCAAGGTCTCATAGTCTGCAGAAGAAAGAAAGCAACAGCAGGGGTGTAATTTAATCATTGTTTATCGCAAATAATGCTTTATAAAAATTTTAATTTATTTATTTTTAGGGATTTACAATGAGTCTATGTCTATGTAATTACTTTCAATGTGCTAGTTATTTCAGAAGGTTTTGCTTTAACTTACCATAAATAAATGGGTTTTCAGATGTATTGGTTGCTGCAAACAGGGAAACAAACACATTTATAAAACCACAATGAGAAATCAAAACACATTGTCTCAGTTGCAAGCCTGTATCACTATTATCAATACACTTTTCTGAGTGTTTTGTGACAAAATCCATGTCTTTCTTCTTTTGTAATCTATATAATTATTTTTATGACTCATCTTGAAAATTAGTCAACTAAAATCAGCTTTCCTAAGGGTATTGGTAGTCATTCAGGAAATTATTGCTCTGTTAATGAAAATGAAATGGATATAGAAGACCACTAACTCAGTGATCTGTCTCTCTCCTCAGCTAATACAGACTGGAAGAGCATGTGTTTAAAAAGATAAATACTCTTTGTTTGTTTTTTCAGAAACAAAATGTTATTGTGAACAGGATGTTTATCTCAATAACAGTATCTCAGGATATCTCAGTATTTTTGTTTGTGCTAAAATGACTATACTAAGCCTAAGTCAGTGTGTTTCTAGTTTCAGTCTGGAGTGGCACTGTAAGCTGAAACTCTAATGTAATAACGAATTGTAACTTCACACATTATCATATCCAGCTTACATAAATATATACACAATATAAAACACATGGTACTTATTTAATAGATTCTTGTTATTTATGTACAAATATTTATAGCTTTATATGTCAATAGGAGATAAGCTGGGGAAAGCTGGCATGAAACAATATTGCATATAATAATATCACATATTAAATAGATTTCATATAAAATGTCATTTACTTCAAGCAGTGATTTTTCAGTAATAGCATTATGATGGTTTGACTTTGAAACAGTGCTCTTTAGATGCAACACTTTAGATTTCATAGATTTTGAAATCCTATATATTTATCCTACTTTATCAACTCTATTTCTTGCCAAATTACTGCTCATATGTCTTCAAAACTAGAATCTGTTTGGGTTAATAACTTGGTCTGGTAATTTTAAGGCTCTATCAGTACATCCGAAGAGTCTGATCTAAACATGAATAGATCATCAGTAAAGCACTTAAGATCAATGTTTGACCCCATTAGAGACCACAGGAAGAGTACTCACCCCCCTCTGTATCAGTGTTTGTTGCAGCTGCGAGGCAGAGTGTTAAGTGGTTAAAGTGAAAAGGTGGAAAGAAAACAGAAAGGGGAAAAACACAGGAAATTAGAGGGCCATAAGTGAAAGATGAAAAACATATCTTTGCAAATTCAGTCCCACACAATAAGAGACCAGGCATGCAATCAGTAAAATCCACACTTAAACTGATGTTTTTCTATGGATTTGACTTGTCCACCCCCAGTCCTTTTCCATGAAATGTCACCGCTTGCACCAACACTGCCTCCCTATGGACAATCGGCGAGTGTGCATGCATGTGTGTTTGTATGCATGGATGCACGTGTGTGTTGCATGAGCAGGGTTGTACTTACCAGTCATATATACAAGGAGTGAAGAGACGATGAGCAAAATAGTTTCCATGGCAACTGCTGACACAGAGTAATGAAAAAGAAAGGGGGGGGGGGGGGGGGGGGTGAGAGAGAATTGAAGAAAGACAAAATAGACAGTCAGGGGGATTTTTGTTGTTTGTTTGTTTGATTGTTTGTTTTCCCCACTCCACTCCAGCACATTCATGTCTGCAGTCTGGTACAAAAACAGCAACAATGAACATGCATTCAAGGTATACTGCGCAAGATGATGACCACACAATTACGCACCTATTGAGTGAGAGGAAAGAGGACTCACATCACGCACAACACTTGCTCTGTCCAGCCTTTTGGAGTATAGCAGATGTCAAATGCTTGTGGATACAGCTTTTATCTTGCACAATGATCTGTGTTCAGAGCCATACATGTTCTCTTTTTCTGGCAGAGACTGCTTCTTCGTCTCTGTGGGCATCACACAACCTTGACCTATTTTTATGTAGGCTATTCAGTGCGCACCCACGTGCAGACACACACCATGTCTGCTACAGAGATATCTCTTATGTTCAGGCAACTATAATGTTGTTATGTCCAGGCAAACTATAATGAGCTAAAATATTTTATGTATTTATTAATATTCAGTTTATTTAATTAATCATTTTTTAGACATCCAAGGTATATGGCTCCACAACTCGCTATGTTGGAGTGTCAATCAGCCGGTGGGTTCCCCACTTTGACCCAGATTAAAATATCTAGAGCGTTATTACGTGGGTTGTCATGACATTCTGTACAGGGAAGGGACATTTGTTTTTCACAATATCATTAACACAATTCACGGTAACATAGAAATGAAAGGTATTACACATATGGATGGATGGATGGATGGATGGATGGATGGATGGGAAGTTTTAGCAGTTTCTAGACATTAAATGCTGCCTCATGTTGCTTGGTTTAAATCCACTGAGAAAAACTTGTGTGAATAATGTTGGGTGTCCCGAAACTTCTCAGTGTTAAAGTAAGATTTTAGAAAAGTTGTGAGATTGTAAAATCTGTCCTTGAACACAGTGCAGTAATCCAAGGACTACAGAATTGGGCTCAACTTTCAAGTGCTGAAAAAATATGCATCAAGTTGTTCTATACCCTCAATTAACAATTTTTTTTTTTACAACAAGTCAATTTATGAAATTTCTTCCCTCCTAGTTATTCTGTGATCAGTTGTAAAGGGAATTATAGTAAAATTGAAACTCAGTTAATCAGTTTGCATTCTGACATCATCCAGACCATCTGGTGATAAAAATTCAGGTGTGTGAGAATGTGTAAAATGAACAGATTTGGTCTTTTTTGGCTGTGTTTTAGCATAATGAATGAGTCTCACCTTTGACCTCTAGTGTTTGAATCTCTGAGACCAACTTAGACCACTTTCTTGATTTTATTTTGTAGCATGTAAACAAACAAAAGATATGGCAGGTTCAGTTAATCTGTTTATGTTTTTTGTCACTCTAATATCATGATACCACTGTACATGGCTGTTGAATGCAAATACGTGTCATGGATCAGTGTTTAGTGAGCAGTCCAAAGCCCTATCAAATTAGCTTGTGCAAATAAAGTGTCTGATAGATTGTTATACATCAGCTGACAGTGACTATTGACTATAATCCTTCACTCTAAATGAATATAGATGGGAAACACAGCATGACAGCAATGGATTTGATGGAGCAGAACAATGCTCTGTGTGAACTAATAAAACAAAACAAGTCTGCAGTTCAACATGCATGATCTATAAACAAACCATGGGATGTCTGCACTGCACCTTCCAGAGGTTTTATAACCCATACTTTAGTACTGTTAACGGAGAGTATCGACTACTAATTCTAAGAGAACTGAACTGGTCCTCTGATTGACTGGGTCTATTTATGTCCATCTAGCCATCTGTCTATTTGCCTGTGTTCAGCTGCATCACTTGTATAGGACATAATGCATTTAAGCAAACAAATTATCCCATTATGGTCATTAGTTGTAGTATGAACAACAGCATTCCTGCGCACTTGCAATTTGTATGTTGTGCTCCGCTTATTTGATTTGTGAGCTATAAACAGATCTAAACAGCACAATAGTAACTGGGACATTTCTAAAATGATGTGACATAAGATGACGATGGAGGAACAGATGAAGCTGTCCCATCCAATAGAATGATACATCTGAAACAAAAATCCTTGCATGTGACCTTGAACAGAAGAAATATTTTTTGTTAAATGCCTGTTTCACACACAAGTACATTTCTATAGATTCCACCTTGTGATTCTCAAATCATAAGGTGGAATCATCAGTTAAAGATATTATCAGTTAAAGGTAGTGACATTTGGAATAATATTCCAGCTGTAATAGGAGAATGTACTACCTTCAAATCATTTAAAACTCATCTCAAATAATGGCTAAAGGGGAATCAGATTTGTGATCATGAATTTGATATTAATATATGTTATTTTTAATGTATTTTAAAAATTACAACATTTGTTGTTCTGCATTTTCTTACAGTCCTATGAAATTTTATGCTTTAAATTTGTTGTGTATGGACTAGATTGGTGTACATTGTTTGATGGTGTGTTGAATTTCTTATTTATCGTTTTAGTCCGACCTGCCAGGGACAACAGATGAAAAGTAGCCTTTTGGCTAACTCTGTTTATTTACATTGATATATTCAACAATATGCACTGTCCCTTTTAAATAAATAATATCAATGTATTCATTTATATGTTGCATTATTAAGACCTTTAAAGTTCTATGTAACATCCCAGTGATAGAAAAGAAAATAGCTTCCTTTAGCGCAGGACTTTTTTTCCCCACACCTGTTACTAAGCAGACAAGACAGAAAGCTCTGTCCTCTTTTTTCAAGGTGTGCATTTGAGAAGATTAACATGCAGTTCAACTTTATTAATAAACACTGCATCTGCTCACGTGCAGCATGCAACAGGCATAAAAAAAATAGGTCATTCATTAGCTAAGCAAGTCATCTATGTTTATTTTGTCAAACACTCCTTGTTTCATGGACAATTGTTTAGTTTCTTTTTTTAATCTTTAATGCTTCATCTTTCATGCTAGTTTTACTGTGGCTAAAATCACAATAATCAAAGAGCTGACAGCCGTGATGATGGTTACAATAAAGGAAGGTATTTGACCGTGAGCCACCTGCAACTCCCTTTTCAATGGTCTTTCACTTTCATCTTTCACTCTTCACATGCTGTTAAACTGCTGTTGGAAAAACACTATCAAGGATGATATGAGATAAATAAATAAAAAGGCAGATAGCAAGAAGCAACTGTGCTCTAAAAGATGTTGGCTGCTTGATGAGCCTTTATCAGAAATAATCAATAGTCAGTGAAAGTTTTTTTATCCTCCTGGGCCCACCCACAGATCAGATTTCCACTAAGCCTTTAATTGTTGATGACATCACAAAAATTACATTTATGAACATGATAGAGGGAGAGTGACCTGAATGCTTTTTAAAAGGCTTTTTAATTATAAAAGGAGAAAATGGGTTTTTTCAATGATTTGTTTTTTTGTTTTTGTTTTTTGCAATACCTCAAGTGGCTATTAGTAAATATTAGCACTTACAAGGTGGCATCATTCCTCCCTGAATATGTTACATTTGTTGATGCATTACCACCGGCTGTGCATCAGTAAACATTATGAGGAAAATGTATCATGTCACCTGTGTGTGTGTGCATACACAAGATTGCTTTTATATCAAATAGCATAATCTGAGGTCATACTGACATGGGGAATTGTTCACTTATTCATGTGAATAATGTCTTGGCATAATATGTCTCAACATAATACAGCAAGAGCAATATGGCGTAATGTGTGTCAGCCAGCTGCTCTCTTGCACTGGTAATCTAAAGCTCGATCTGTCACTTTGGTGCTAATGGAAGGAGAGAATTTTGAAAAAGTAGACAGAACCATACCAAGGCTGATGGAGAGAAGTTTGATGCTCTTTTGTGTCCTTCTTACTCAGGCACTTGCTAATGGCATAGATATGACAGTAAGTGCCCAGGGTTAAGTGGCCAGCCGGACAACCTCAGCTGATTTCAGAGTAGCCAAAGATAGTCTGAGGTTAAAGGGCACGCAATCAGCGTCACACAAAATATAGCAAGTTTATTCAGACCGCAACACTCATCCCTCTTTGTAAGGACATAGAGAGCTGTCCCTTGAGCAGTAAAAAAAAATCATCTTGGAAAAAGTTCTGCAACGGTTTCAGCAATTGAGGCATTGATTTTAGATTGATTCTAGATTGATTTTAGATTGCCTGCAAAAAGTCTTGATTTTTAATGGCTGAAAAGCAGAAGAATATTTATTTAGAGTGCTAGACATAAAGATGAGATGTGTAGAAAAATAGTTGATGCCTGTTATTTTACACTACCTTTTTACGATATTGTGTTTGAAGGAATGAAATTCCTTAGATTTGAGTGTTTTATATATAACACTATATATAATCTAGTCAGTAGTGGAGTTTTTATACTTTGCTGCTTACTGTTTCTTTTCGGTTTCAGTCACTGTTCAGTTTAACAGTTTACTCACTGTTAGGTAAGGTTTAGGCACTAAATCCCATATGGAAAAGAAATAGTAAAAACTTATATGATTTACTCATGAAAGTAGCCACTTTCTCATTACTTTCATATATTGTTTTAGTAAGTATCCAAAACATACAAGTTTCATTATATAATTTTTCAAGGGATCTTATATGTGTTTTCACTCTTGTATGTTTTTCATACAAGTTTCACACAAGACAGATACAAACTTTATAAGATTTATATATATCTTTTCCATATGGGATAACTTGGTTATATTTAAGAAAATATCATAATTTGGTTTACAATGTACTTGTATATGACATAAACCAGTAATCTACCAAGTCCTATCAAATATCCCACAAAAGGATGAAGACAAAACATTTATACACCAGTACTAAAATATCAGCTTCATAGGTTTAGCTTAAAATTACTTACTTCTCTGGCCAATATCCATGACCATCAGATGAGTACAAAAATTACAATGACTTTTGTTTGAGTTCAATTTGGCTTCCTTCTGAAGTGTAGAACTTTTGACCTTGGGTGGGTCAGTGTCATATTTTTCCTGTGAGAACGAGTTAGACATTTGGCACAATTGTACTTCCCCATATAATGTATCGTTTGATTGTTTCTGCCAGCCTTTTTCTCCCTGTGTGTGAACATGACACCTGAGCAGTTGCCTTTCCATCTTTCCTCTGTCTAATCTGCACCATTGTTTGGTAATATCAAGTTCCTCAGCCAGGCTTTCTATTTTCTGAGAGTACAGAACTAGAAAAGGGCAGACGTGGTGATGATATCTGTTTGGAAAAGGCAACAACATTGAATGGAGGCTGTTTCCTGTAATGTTGGGACGAGGAAAGGGCAAGCTGAAAGCCAGTGAGACTGGGAGACAGGCTGACAGGGTTAGACATTGTCTGGTAGTACAGGTGAAGGGCATGCAGAGGAGACACTGTCTGAGGGGAGAGGACTGTGGTAGGGCAGCCTGTTGTACTGTAGTGACATTTACAGTATAACATGCAAAGAGCTTTAAAAACAAAGGCCAAGGAGGGACAAAGCAATAACAGCAGTGAGATAGTGAAGTACACAAGGGCAGCAGAGTGCTCCAGAATCACAGAGACATGAAAAAAAATAATGGTTTAACCTTTGACATTATACTGCTTGGCAAATGTGTAACTCTCATGCAGGAGTTGTGGGGGGGGAAAACAACAAGGTCATGAAGGAAAATCCATCCTAAAATGACAGTGTGTGTTTTTACAGATGACCACACCCCACTAACACCAACACTCAGTCAATTCAATTCAATTTAATTCATATTAGTGCCAAATCACAATAGCAGTTGCCTCAATGCGCTTTATATTGCAAGATAGAGACCCTATACTGTAATAATAGTATAGTAGTTCTATCAATAGCCTATCATGTACCAAATGAAACAGAGGTTAGGTGATATTTGAAATTATCACATGACAGATGTTTTTGTTCTTGTTGTTGTTGTTTTCCCCCACTGGCATTTCCTGTGTGCTTCAAAGTCAGGGAAGTGCAAATTCGTGTAGTTTTCATTTGCACCTCAATTTGCACTTCCCTGACTGATACCACACTATTTGCTTTGTAGATCTATTGGTTAGCTATCAGGCGTACCTTTTAACACAGTTTTAAAATATTGTCTGGGATAACTGGGCCATATCTTCCTGTTTCACTTTACACTTTGGAGTAGTACGGGTGTCTGAAGGAAATTAGTTTGGGTGACTAATAACCCTGAGGCATTATCTAAACCCAATAAATCCAACTAAATATGAAAAGAGCCCTATATATTAACATCAATACAATGTGGGGCAGCTGTACAATGCATGAATCCAAAAAACAAAACAAAACAAAACAAAAAACAGCCTTGACCTCTATATCTACCATTATAATGATGTTACACCACTATGACAGCCATCGTAATTTAGTGTCCAGTTATCGCCATGGTAACTGTCTCCAACTGACAATTGTGGCGCCGAAAGAGAAATGGGTTAAAGCAGAGACAACACTGACTCCACTTAAACAGGAATAAGGGGTGTGGCGTGCATCTTTAAGGTCGAAATCTCTGGCCTACATTGAGACGATTTCTAAGATAACTGATTTATAAATAAATAAGTAAATAAATAAATAATGAGCGTGACCGTACATTCAGCGGTTGTTTCCAGATAAAGTCGCCTGTCGGGGACAAAGGGAGACCTCAATCACACACACTGATAACCTCTCTATTACTCGTGACGATCCATCAAGGCTCTGAGCTAAGTTACGTGTTGTTTGGTTTGACTGACATAAAACAACAACAAAAAACACCTTGCACAATATGCCTCAATATCCGATGCGTGACGTCTTCGCATTGATCCACTTTTGCGTCTCTCAACCTGTGGATTATCTGATGATTGAGAAAACCCGAGCCATCATCCGCCTGGTGATTTTCCTTTTCACGGAAACAGCTAAACAGCAGTGTCATAACGAACGAGTTCATTTTACTTGAAAATGACAAGTGGATTAATAATGGTTTTTATCCCGTTTTTGCAATATCCGCGTAGCCAGCGATTAGTGCCAACAGACACACCCTCGTGGTACATGTTCGCGTGGTAAATAACAAGCAGCCTTGAAAATGCCAGCTCGATTAGTTATTGTGACCATGTACACCAGACAGGTGGTTATTATTGAAAACAATAATAATAATAATAAATGACACCGCACGTTTGCCTAAAATAATTCCACAAAGAAGTTTGCACGAAAGACACAATTTATGCACACTGGAGAGGCGTTATGAATAAAATTGCCTTGCCTTACAGTCCTATTGCACTCATATTCTTTTTAGACCACTGGATCCCTTTTTGTCTTTATATGAATAACACAATCAAATATGTCGCTTATTAACTTACCTTTTGTTTCTCCAGCGGACCGTTGGTTAACAAACTGATATCCACCTGCAAAAATCAATCAGTTTGTCTCACAAGGACTCTGCTTCAAGTATTCTCATCTGTCAATATGTGCAACCTGCTCATATGTACTTCCCCTGGAAAAATAGATGTGATGACGACAACAGTGTGACTCCTGGAGTGACTGCTTATTTAGTGCGTGGAATCGTCCCTGCCGCTCCCTTTCTGCATCTCTCCCTCTCTCACACACCAGGCACGCTCACCACAGACCCTCCTGCTCACAAAATCATTAAACACCACAACAAAGGGGAGTGGATGGTTCCTTCTTTATCTGATATATGTTGTGTTTGTTATTCGCGCAATCCTTCACAAACTTATGACATGAACATAACAAAGAATACGGAAAAATGGCATACAATCAAGAACAATTTCAAGAAAAATCCCAACATGAGTAGTGGCTTAAGTGCACTGCTTAGTGACTCAAGTGCAAGGTAATGCACAAAATGTTTTGATTTTAATATGGTACACAACAGTTAAAATTGGGTTCCTGGGAGAAAAAAACACCTTCATAATAATTAATCATACACAATCATACATTAATCAACCACAAACTGATTAAGGAAATCTCAGTAGAACCTCAGTAAAGCCTTTCATTGAATTACAATAAGATACAATTGAAAAAAAAATCTGCTTTTAAAGCTCACTTAAATTAAAAATAAGCTTTAGTACACACAAAAGAATAAAATCAAAATTGAAAGACTGAAGTCAGTGCACTGATTAGCTTGTATACATGTGGGTAGTGTAAAATATATTAAATCCATGTGACCTGGGATGAGTATAGATGATGAGCACAACATTAATGAATGTATGTGGGCATTTCTGTCATGCTGCTACTCCCTCAAGACAACTTCATTGGGAGGAAAACACCAGCAGGAGGCAAAGTGATGTCACACCATAGCTCTCTGCAAGAGGCAAAGGAGGAGTTAACATAGAGAAAGCCTTCCCCTTCTAGTTCTTATTTATTCTTTTTGCTTTCACTCTTACATGCATGCTTGTGTAGATCCAGGGCAGAACACTACTGACTCTGGTGTAAACCCCGGGTTTGTTTTTTTCACCACAGCCAGCTCCCCAGCTGGTAATCCCCACCAGGTAAAAGCGACTCTCTCCCTGGCATACCAGAGGTCCACCACTGTCACCCTGGAAAAATATATTATACTTGATTAACAGAAATGTTACTCCAAAGTTTGCTAGATGGTCAAATCCATGCATACTTATATGATTTCTGTTAGCTGTTCCTTAATACTGACTGCTCACCTGACAGGAGTCTTTGCCTCCTTCGAGTTTCCCAGCACAAAGCATATTATTGGTCACCAGACCTCCATAAGCATCACGACTGTTACACACCCGTGTATCAATGATGTCCACACTCACTTCCATCAGATCCTTCGAGACAACACCTTTAAAAAAAAAAGAAATAACAAAAAAACGTCATTGTTTCCTTTCCATGGCAATATAATACCCCACAATAGTAGCTTGATGTAAAAATTATACATTATTGTGAGTTGCACCGTCTAAGCAACAGAAATTGTGCATTGTTTGTTTTCTTCATTTTTCTTCAGTTTTTATGATTAATAATTTCGCAGTCTTTTGTTTATTGATTGAGAGTTGTCACCCACCCATCAGTCGTTAACATTATTTTTTCAAGCATATTTTTCATCAGATGATTATATAGACAACAGATACTGGTTACTTTCTCATCATTCCCTGATGTTGCTTTCTTGTAATCCTTCCCCAGTCTTTCTCAGCTTGCAGATTTTTTTTTTTGTTGTTTTTTTATTGCATCAGCAATGTTTAATAGTTTGCCTTTCACTGAGGAGTGGCTTCCGTCTGGTCATTCTGCCTTACAGGCCTGACTGGTGTAGTGCTGTAGAAATGGTTGTTCTTCTAAAAGGTTCTCCTATCTCCACAGAGCAAAGATGGAGCTCTGTCAGAGTGATCATTGGGTTCTTGGTCTCCTCCCTAACTAAGGCCTTTCTTTCCCAGTACCTCAGACTGGCCAGACAGAGCCCTGATGGTTTCAGACTTCTTCCATTTATGGATGATGGAGGCCATTATGCTCACTGGAACCTTTAATGCTGCAGAAGTTTTTCTTTTTCTTTTTTTTCTGCACCTTTCCCCAGATCTATACCTCCATACAATTCTTTCTCAACAATTCATTAGCACCATCAACTATGGGACCTTATATAGACGATGTGTGCTTTTCAAAATAATGTCCAATCTACTGAATTTACCACAGATGGACTTCAGTCATGTTGTAGAAACATCTGACATATTTTGAGTGCCATAGCAAAGGCTGCGAATATTTATGCTCATGTTTTTTTTTTTTTGTTCTATCAATGCTTTGGGTGGGTGCTAACTTCCTACAATTTAAGGCTTTAGTTTCAGTGAGTAAAATGGCTAAACGTCACTCATAGACCAAACCTAAACTTTTAAAGCCTTATCTACAGTAAAACAATCAAACACTACTGGAAACAACAGCACTTAAACATGTAATGCAGACGCAAGGCAGACTGTATTGCCCAACACATTAGTATGGAAATCATGGGAATTCAGTAAAATAAATTACATTCATGAATAACTAAAACTTGGTCATTTGCTAGATTTCTAGTCTAGATTTCTAGATACTTAACATTTCTGAATTTCTGCTTACCTGAACCGGCCTGTGTGGTGCCAAAACCCGAGGTCCAGCACTGAGTTCCTTGGACAAAGTTCTGGTTATATGCTGGCAGACAAGCAGGCTGAACTTTATCTGGTTAACACAAAAATATGTATTTAAATTTTGCCAACACATCAGCCGCCTTGTGTGCTCAAAAGGATAGTATTGTAGATAGATCTGTACATATACGGTAAAACAACTTCACTATGTAAAGCAGATTAACAGTTTGACTGTGAACTCACAGGCTTTCAAAGCTCAGACTGAGCAGCAAAGGAAATATTTTCATTGCTATTACTATCCTGCACATTGTTTTAGTGTCCTGTTTTTGTTAATAATCTACACAATCTACTGTAGACTATATACAGCAGAGAGTAAGAGAAATACTTATTTGATCCCCTGCTGAATTTGGAAAAACTTTATGTAATGTGTATGGTTGCTTAAAATAAAGCTACCATAAAAATTAAAGACTGTTCCTTTCTTTGAGCAAATTCAGCATGGGATCAAATAATTATTTCCCCCACTATACTGTGCAGAATATATATGCATAACACTCTCCATAGTGCTATTAAACACAGGTTTCATCATCGAAGGATTTCTGTACTGGATATTTCCATGGAGGAAGCAATTAAATCCTTCACACACTCTGCTTTCCAACATGATGCCCACACACATACTTATGTGATTATTAAAATCTGAACACAGCTATAGAGGTTGGATGACTACACACATTTGTTAAAGAATGTAAAGATGCAACTAACCATTGAAAGTGACTGGGGATGTAAGTTTGAGAAGAACAACATCTTGGTCATTTGTTTTAGTGTTATAGTTCTCATTGACTATGATCTTCTCAACAAAGTACGGAACAGGCAGGTTGTTCAGCGACACCGTTCCACCATATACTCTCCAGTTCTGAGGGGATAGAGCCGAGTTGTCTCTGAAACCCCGAAAAACACTCTTCAATGGACAGCAACAGATTAATGTAGATTTCAGCACAGAATAATTGGCATTATGGTTTTTAAAATGTATGAATTTTGAATTGTTAACTGCAGCTGGACCTTAAAATATCTACAATTACAATGTACAGACTCTAGGAATCAGAGAGTTTATTAAGGTAGACTATGGTCAATTTAAGAGAGTGTGATAAAACATTTACAAAGGTATGTTTGTTTTATTTTCTTTTTTTTTTTGTCACCTTGGGAAACAGTGGGCAGCAGAAAGCACAAAATCAGGGGAGATCAGGACTCCTCCGCAGACATGGGATCCTCTGAACTGTAGTGACAACTGCCAAGGCCAATGACCTATTTTAGCTATGGTGCCACCAATGATCCGGGACGTGGCCTGCTGCTTACCACAATCTGGACAACAATGCAAGGTACCATGCAAAAGAAAGAAAGGGAAACAAAACTATTGTCAGCATACAGTTTTATCCTTGATGAATGCAGAAAAAAATACATTGTATGTGCCAGCGTTGCTGCTGCAGTGCTGTTAGATCTTCATAGGAGTCACAATGTTTTATGTTATCAAGGTCACCTAACAAAACACCTTGTGGCCATAACTTAAGAACTCTTTGAGTAATTTTTACACAACTTTAAACAAGTCTTAAGATTTTATGAGGCCAAATTTTAGCCAGTTAAGTAGCAGAGGGGTTTTCTTAACTGCTTTGATGAGGTCCTAACATCCACTATTGGCCCTGTGCTCACTACCAGAAATTGCAGACCCACCACTGGCACCCTGTGCTTTTCGCAGGTAAGAGCAGGTTCACACTTACCATATCTGAGAGACCTGAAAGGGTCTAGAGAAACCTGTATGTTATGGTGATATGATGGTTTGGAGAACCATATCAATGAGAGGATGAACAGACTTCTGCAGGCTAGACTATGGCCCCCTGACTGCCATTAGGTATTGGGATTAAATCATTGGATCCACTGTTGCACCCTACACTGGTGCAGTGGGTCCTGGGTTTATAGTTCATCATGATCTATAGAAATCTATAGAAATCTGGAATCGAAGGTATGGCAATCTGGAGATGTTATTGAAGCTCAAGTTACTTTGCTTTGGCCTTCAGGTCATCTGTATTTTGGGGGTTTTCTTCCTCTTAAATGTCTAATAGATTCTCTTTGGGATTCAGATCAGACCGGTTGGCCAAATGCAGTAATGATTATCAGCATTCTGATCACGATTGGTAAACCATTTAGCAGTAGTTATGGCATTGTGGATAGGTTTTTATTCCGTTAGGAAAAGGAATCGCCAACTAGAAATCAAGTCCTCATGAAGTTCTCTCTCCTGGTATATGGCTGCATTAACTTTTGATATGATAAAATATCACTGACATGATTTGGTGCCCCAAATCATCATAGACAGCAAAAGCACACAGGACTTCAAACACTTTGGATTCTGTCTCTGTCCTCTCTTTCCTCCAGACTTCAGGACCTTGATTTACAAATGAAATGCGAAATGCAATTTGATCTTTTAAAAGGACGTTGGACATAAAGTCCAGGTAAGACATTTTTGATATTGTTTCTCACA